GTCGACAGCTGCCTGTGTTTGCACAGATCCTGCCTGCAGGATAACGTATGTTCTGCAGCGGGCCCAGGATCAGGTCTCACTTCACGCCGGTGATGGCCAAGCAACATGCGCAAAAAAACGGGTGCCAGCAGTTGGAGTGGTACAGGAAGTTGTTGTCGATCATGTTAATCTGGCTGATAGCGAGCCTGAAATGGCGCCAGCATTCAAACGTGCTGGCACCTTGTCACGTGAGTGTAGTGTGGGGTCGCGAGGGCACACGGGCGCACTGTCGCAGCGTCATCCGCTATGTGGGCCTTCATGTCGATCTCTTTCGGATGTAGCATGCTACATGTTCTGAGCAGGCGAAATAAACATTATGCGGGCACATGCGGGCGCATTCTCACGCACCGCTCAGCTGACGTTGATTGTGAGTTTACGCAGCAGTCCTCGAGAAACTCCACGCCATGGCTTTAGTGCCACATTGATCCCTTCCACATGGCCAGAACAGCTTTTGTTTGGTGGGGTTGGACCACGCTCTCTGAAGTAATAGCGCGAACCGAGGCTTGCGTAACAGGAATGAGGAGGCCACACACAGACATGTGGGCTTGCCGCCGCGGCACGAGAAGTCTTCGGCACGCACCACAACAGCACACATGTACTGCATATATACATTGGAGTTGTGCGGACAGGACATTTGCGCGGTCATTCTTCTCATAAGCTCAATCCGCCATCTCAGATGGCGAAGCAAGCAAGAGGTGGAGTACACAGCAGATGAGTGCAGCGGCAGCCGAATGAGCGTCCATCCAGCCACGATCCACTCTCAAGCCATGACCTCGCGAGGACATGTTCACCAGGGCCTGAGCGGGGGGTGGAGCAAGTAAACGAGCAAGTGCATGACGCCAAAGCAATCTTTGCCAGTCAGTTGAACATGTTGTTGTTGTGTGCAGCTACAGATCCCTTTGCAACCCGAGCACTCTCGAGCGCGCCTGGCCGCATCATCCTGTGAAAGATTACCTACCAAGAGGTCGGTACGTTCACTCCAAGGGGTGCCCCACTGACAAAATCAGTCACGATGGTGTGTTCGTGTGTGCACGCGTGCGGGGCTGGCTGCAGTGCAATCATCTCTGGCGATGGCATACCACAGCTTGCCTCCTTGAACACAGAGTCTTACGCGGGGAGCTTTGCATGGCAAGGCTCATGTCCCAGAACATGAAGGTTTGACGGACCCCGATTTTGGGATTCAAAAATCGCGTCTGTCAGGAGCTGCAAGTAGCATCAAAGCATATCAAAGCTGGAAGACATTCCCCCTTGCACATTACTGTGTTGAACGCTACCATGGCATTGCTGGGGCCACGTTAGCTTCAGGAACCATGGCCGGCTGGATCAGGGGAACCGGCGTCCAACCCAACAGTTTTGACTGGGGGCCCTTGAGAACGTTGAGGTGACGAGGACAAGAAGTTTTTCACTCATGCAAATATATAAAAAACGTCTTGTGCTGGTGGGCAACCGTTGCAAGCAGACTGGGACTTGCTGTAGCACCTTCTGCAGCGTTTTGCGCTTTCTGGCCCATTTTCCTGCCGGCGATGCCCGTCTCCGAGCTGGGCCGTGCCGTACAGCGTGAGGTTATGCAGGAGATGGCCGTGCTGATTGGGCAGTCAGGCACCCCGTGTAGCCATGTCATTCCTCGACAGAGCTGGGCAGGAAGAGAGAAAGAGACAGCGAGAAGAGAGAGAGAGAGAGAGAGAGAGAGAGAGAGAGAGAGAGAGAGAGAGAGAGAGAGAGAGAGAGAGAGAGAGAGAGAGAGAGAGAGTGAGACAGAGGAGAGACAGAGTGAGAGAGAGACAGAGCGAGAGGGGGGGCAAAAAGCGAGCGAGAGAAACCGCAGTCAGGGGTGCCACGGCACCTTTTCAAGAGCATGGGGTTCTGCGTTTCCTGCTGTTGGTCGGGGCGCTGCCATTCATGCACGCTAGATGTTTCTGCGTCTCCTGTTCTTTGCGGGGATGCTGAGGTTTCCGCGACTCTTGCTCTTGGTAGGGGGTGCCGTTGCACCTTTTCATCATGTCATGAGGTTTGAAAGAGAAAAGAAGCCCCAAGAAAGCAAGATGCTTCCTATGACAACATAGAGGAAATAGAGGCTTTCATACGAAAATATAGCGAAAACACAAAGTGTTTTCATATTAAAATGTAGAGGTCTTGATATTCAAATATAGAGAATAGAGGGTTTCACGTTCAAATGTTAAGACAATGGAGGTTTGCCTATTCAGAGACAGAGCAAATAATGGGCTTCCTATTAAAATTAGGACAAGACGAACAAAAACACTTTTAATTGCAAGTCACATATTGAGATAACACAGAGAATAAGTTTCTCATGTATTCCTCTCTCATGTCTTCCTCATTAAATATAGAGGAAAACTATGCCGATGTAGACAAAAATAGAGAGAAATAGAGGTTTTAGTTATAAAATAGAGAGAAATAGAGGTTTTCGAATTGAAGTATAGAGAAATTAGAAAAACTAGAGGTTTTCATGCTAAATGTAGAGAAAATAGAGGTTTTCATATTCAAATATAGAGAAGAAAGAGGTTTTCCTATTCAAATATAGAGGAGAAAGAGGTTTTCCTATTGAAAATTAGAGAAAATAAAGGTTTTCATAGTAAAATATAGAGAAAACAGCAAAAACGCTCCGCACCCGCTGCAAAAAAAAAGGCGCCCTCACGGCACCCGCAACAAAAAAAAACGCGCCCCCGCACCCGCAGCAAAAAAAAAAAAAAAAGCGCCCCCCGCACCCGCAGCAAAAAAAAAAACGCGCCCCCGCACCCGCAGCAAAAAAAAACGCGCCCCCGCACCCACAGCAAAAAAGCACCCGCAACAAAAAAAAAACACTCTTACCGCCTGGGTTTATAGGGTTAGAGGAGATGTAGGGTTCAGGGTTTAGTGCTGAGGGGGCTCTTTCAACTGACAGTCCTTAATAAGGATTCTGGTACCCTCCATTATAATCCCTACTAAGGGCTGTCAGTATACGGGGGGAACATCCCCAGTGTAGGCTTGAGGGGGCTCTTTCAAAGAGCGGTTTTTTCGAGCACATCAGCTGACTGTTATACTAGGATGCCCAGAAGTACCCTTATTCCCTTTTTGGGGGGGTTTAGGTTCCCTTATAAACCCCTTTCAGCAAAAAAGGCACCCTTTTTTAGTCTAGGTTATTGGGCAGCCTTGTATAGCGAATGGGCAGCTTTGCGGTCTGCAGGCATCTGGGTGAAGGGGTGCAGGAAGAGGCTCCAGGCTAAGCAGCTGAGTTGGGGCCATTTAGGGTTAGAAGGGTTTAGGGTTTATAGGGTTTAGGGTTTAGGGTTTAGGGTTTAGGGTTTAGGGTTTAGGGTTTAGGGTTTAGGGTTTAGGGTTAGAGGCTGACCCAGAGACGGTAAGGCAGGAATTCGGTGTACGAGCACCTGCTTGTCGGATCCTGGGGTCTGGGGGCCTGGGAGCTTAGGAGTTTCAGCTTCGAGGGCTTACGAGCTTCAATTCGCTGGGCGTTGGGATTTAGGGTTTAGGGTTTGGGGTTTAGGGTTTAGGGTTTAGGGTTAGGGTTTAGGGTTTAGGGTTTCGGGTTTGGGGTTGGGGTGTAGGGGTTTCCAGTTGATATGTTCCCCGCTTCTGTTAACAGATCCCTAATAGGGACTTTAATCAGGGGTACTTCAATCCCTTTTATGGGCTGTTAGTATAAGGGGGAACATCCCACGTTGCCCGTCGTATCTTGGTAGATGAAACCCGAAGGGTCCATGTACCCAATTCTTATATACCTTGGCCCCAACGTCCCTAAGTAGGAAGTACTTTAAGGCCCAAGTATTCCCTAAAGTAGGTACAGGGACCCTTACATTAAGGGTGCCTATTTGGGGTTTAGGGTTTAGGGTTTAGGGTTTTTGGGGTTTCCGGCCAAATCTTGGTAGATGAAAGCCGAGATGTCCAGGCCCGATTGAGCTGAAGATGGGGATGCCGACCCTCGAGGGCTCTGCCGGCATCTTCCGGTATGAGGACACGGCACATGGGCGCGGTTTAGGGCTTGGGGTTTCTTAGGGGTACTTGGAGATATGTTTTTTTATTTTTGGGTACTATATTTCTTAAGAAACATCATATAAGATAATTTCAGCTAGGGTTCCAAGTTCAGTACTGGTTTAGGGTTTAGTGTCTAAGGGCATTTGGAAGTTCAGTGTGTTAGGGCAACAACTAGAACAATTAAACCCGAAACCCAATACCCTAAACCCTAAACCGGCTAAACCGCCGGAGCTTGTCCACCATCTGTACCAGGACGTGCTATTGGACCCTGTAACCCCTTAAAAAGGCCCTTTGCAGGGTTTAGGGTTTAGGGTTTAGGGTTTGGAGTTTAGGGTTTAGGGTTTAGGGTTTAGGGTTTATTATAAGGCCTATAATACCCCATCCCCCATCCTGGTATAATCTCAAGGCTGGAGCCATCGCTGCCATGCGGCGAGCCCTCCGCACCGCCATCATCGCCGCCGGCGGCGAAGCTGCGGAAGGCCCTACTTAGGGTTTAGGGTTTAGGGTTTAGGGTTTAGGGTTTAGGGTTTGGGTTTAGGGTTTAGGGTTTAGGGTTTAGGCGTCAGGATTTAGGGAATTCAGGATTTCAGGGACCTGGTAGCCCAGAGGTACTCTTCTGCCCTTTTTTGTTGGTTCAAGGTTTAAGGTTCCTTTTTTCACGGTAAGCAACCCAGCAACCCCGACAAGGGCCCCTTAGCATAAAAGGGCTGCCGGGTTACCAAGATTTTGAAGGAGCAGCAAGAGGGACTCGGGTCCATGGAAGTTAAAAAGCGGAGTCATATGTACCGGGTAATTAAATCGCCCCAAAGTCGGCCCTACTTGGATTGGTGCTTCGTGGATATTGTAGTGTTTCTCTTGATGGTGCCGCATGGATCACGCTTGCCGCGTCTTCTCCACAAACATGGCAGCACTTGTCAGACTTTAGTAGCTGCCAAAACTATACTATAAGCTGTAGCTCGGCCGTGTCAGTAACGATGGCGCCGTGGGTATGGGAGCTGCTGTTCTGGCTGCCGCACGGGACAGACGTGCTCATCGGAATTGGCACATTATCGCACGTGTGCATGAACGGCCCCGAGCTTCTCCTTGAGAGCCTCAACATCCCGCCATCGCTGGCCAAGGATAAGGGCTTCCTTAAGTTTTGGACGCTCTTCAAGCTCCTATACTTCTGCTATGTGGTGATGATCGCAGCTATCTGCTTCGTGGACCGCGCGACTCGCCTTGTCTTCGCCTTTGCCTGGGTCACCGTGTACTGCGGGAAGGTGCTGGCCATCTTCGTGTGGGAACATGACGAGCCCATGGAGGTGCGCCGGCCAAAGCTGCTGTCGCTGCTGTGTTTCCAGCTCCCCTTCATGGGGGCTTACATTGCCGTCCACTGAGCTACGCACGAACTGCACAGACTGGGCCAGTACGAAACGAATCGACTCGCTGCATACACCGTGCTTAATGTGCCCTGTGCTTGGTCTCGACTTCCCTGTGAGTTTACTGGGCCTCACAACCTCAGCTTGTGTTCCTCATCTCTTCGATACCTTAATCTGACATGCAAGCCAGAGTCATCAGGGACCTGCAGGGGGTTTTCCCTTTAGGATTCTGAAGTTCGCTCTCCGCAGGTTTGGGGATGGTCCTTGCAGCTTTGCAACGCAGACAAACATAGCAAACAAGCACAACACAGATGCATCCCGCCTGCAAACGGCCTGCTCACATGGTCACATCTCGAATGCAATGTTGACAGCTCAACTTGCGGTAGTAAACGGCAAGCAGCGGATGAGTCGGTGTCCTTGTCCCCCTCTTCTCAGCCTCGCAAAACCAGCCTACTACCCGGATCAATTTGTGCAGCCCTATTTTGCTCTATGAGTTCAATAGCCGAACCTAAAGAAACTATAAATAAACTAAACTTTCTTGATGTCGTGATTGCAACTCTCGGTGTCGTGAGGCGGAGGAGACCGATCGAAGGCCAAGCCGCCCGCGGGCACGCCGGAAGGCCAGGAGAATATTCTAATAAAGGGTTTGGGGTTTAGGGTTTAGGGTTTGGCATTTAGGGTTTAGGGAAGCCTACTTTCCCAGAACCCCTACTCTCCCCAGTAGTTTATCTAGGAGAGAAAAAGGTTTCAGGTCTTTTGGGCTGAAGTTTTGTCGTCTGCGAGGTGGGTCTCGCAGTGGAAGGCCCGATGCCCTAAAACTGCCTTCCTTCTCTGCCCTGCAGGCCCATGGGTTCGCAGCCGTGTGGGCGGTAAACTCCTACACCATAGACCCCCGAACCCTCAAAAAAGCGAAGCCCTTAGAGTCGCAAAACTGCAGGACTTATAGGGCTTACTTTGGGTATGACTACCCGACGTGCCCAAGGCCCTAATGATCTTACAGGCTACCTAGACGAGCCCTTGTTGAAGAGTTCTTGGGTTTCTGGAACAATAACCCTCAAAGCCGACTCAAAGCACTACCTGGGACTCTTTACCTACAGTTTTATGGATCATACCTACGAATTTAAGGGGTAATTACTGCCAAACGGTAGGTAAATATGTGGTGCTTTTCTGTAACTTTAGATCCTTAGCCTTTTTGGGTTTATTGGGTTTCTTAACAAAGGCAGCTAAAAATCAATTTTTACCTACCCTCTTAAGTGCAGCCAAGTAACGTGAACCCAAGCATCCAGCCCCAGCTTCAGGCGAGCCGGCCCCCCACCTGCCGGACTCTGGGCAAGACAGCGCTCCCTCCTGCCTCAACCCTAAACCCTAAACCCTAAACCCTAAACCCTGAACCCTAAACCGCCTCAACCCTTACAGTTTAAGGTTCAGGGCTTTACAGGGTTTCAGGGTTTGGGCGTTATATAAAACCCAGAATATAGATCAACACTCAACCATCACCCCAATGCGCCCAAAAAAGTGACAAGTCGTCCCCTTGTTTTCACTCCGCGGGGTTGTGGGGGGGGGGGGGGGTTGTGGGAGGGGGGGGGTGTCCGAATTCCGTAGGAGCGCACATGTTGTCCCTAACATGAGGCCCTGCTTGGGTAGCAGTCATACTACGGGCCCCTGTATTCAGAGTGCCCTCAATGGGGTCAGTTCAAAACAAGCCTCTTCAACTCTGCGTGGCAAGAGCGATGTCGCGGTCCTCGACCGGCCGGGTATTCTTAATTTTAACGCTACGCGACCCGCCGTCGGCCCGGCCCAGCGCATCCGCGTGAGCATGGTGATTCCGCAGCGCCCAAGTCGCTGCACCCCAAGCAATGAGGGTTGGGTTTAGGGTTTCGTAGTTTAGGGTTGCGGGGTTTGGGGGTTCACGCTTCACGGTTTGGCGAAAAGCAAAAGGAGGGGGGGGGGGGCAGGGGCGGCAGGGGGGGGGGGGAGGGGGAGGATTTGGAGGGGGGTGCCTGTTCTCACAACCTATACACCTTCGGCCCGAGGCCTCCGCGGATAATAATCCTACGAAGCCGAATTCAGCCCTATACACCCCTAAACCCGAGTCTAGGTTTTGCTGCTCAGCTTCTTGGGGCATAACTTTTATGCTACGATGTAATCCCTAAGCCCGAAATACCCTTATCATATCATAGTTCTACTACTGGAGCTTAAGGCATCTTAGCAAAGAGCCCTTGTAAACCCTAAACCCTAAACACTGAACCCTACGCCCTATTCAGGTTTGTGGTTCACGCCGGTTTAGGCTTAGGTCACCCTAAACCCTAAACCCTTAGGACATCGTCCACTCCACCGTGTTGCGCTGGACAGCCGAGCCGGCCGACCGCGCCGCCGCCAAGGACCGCCGCTGCGGTTTTGGTTTCGGCTTTTTGTCGGGTTTTTCTTGGGGTTTCATTGGGTTTTATGGGGGGGTTATATGGGTTTGTTGGGGTTGTAGGCTTCTGTTGGGGTTGAATTGGGCTTTTTCGGGGGGGCTTAACAATTGGGTTTGATTGGGGTTTATATGGAGTTTCTTGGGCAGATGCGAGCTTGCTTGACAGCATCCGAAGTCCGGCGATGTCTTTTGTTGCCTTCTCCTGAGCTCCGGGTTCCTAGAGGACGCTTAACCGATGCCAAGTAGGGTACCCTTATGATACGGTGACGTTTTTTAAATAAGTGGAGGGCGGCCAGCCTGCTACGGCAAGGGGGGTAGTATCAAAGACCAGTTTAAATCCGCATGTTTTCGTATTTGCCCTGCACCCCTCCTCCACCTCTCCCCCTCCACCCCTCTAGCCCCTACCCTCCGCCCCTCCACCCCTCCACCCACCCCTCCACCCCTCCGCTCCACCCCTCCGCCCCTGTGCCCCTCCGCCCCTCCGCCCCTCCGCCCCTCCGCCCCTCCGCCCCTCCCCTCCACCCTGCACCTCCACCCTCCCCGCCTCACCCCTGCACCCCTCCACCCCCCTCCACAGTGGAGGGCTGGAGGGGTGGAGGGGTGGAGGGCTGGAGGGGTGGAGGGGGTGGAGGGGGTGGAGGGGGTGGAGGGGGTGGAGGGGGTGGAGGGGGTGGAGGGGGTGGAGGGGGTGGAGGGTGGGACTGGGTGGTGGCGGGTGGAGGGCGTGGAGCTGGGTGGGTTTGCGGATGTTTAAAATGCTCGGCGGCCTGAGGAGGCAGTATGAAATACCTGTTTGTCTGTTTACATGTCCGTGTGAAAAAACCGGCACCGTATCATGGTTCCCCTGCTACCGCCCCGCTATACCACCTCTCTACCTCACGAAGCCTTGGGGAGTTGTTGGCTCGAGACCTGCTTGCCCTTCGACAGGCCTCAACCCTAAACCTAAACCTTTGAACCCTAAGCCCTAAACCCTAAACCCTAAACCCTAAACCCTAAACCCTAAACCCTAAACCCTAAACCCTAAACCCTAAACCCTAAACTCCCTAAACCCTAAACCCTAAACCTTTGAATCCTTTGAACCCCATCCAACCCGACTCGAGAACCCTAACAAACGCAACAAGAGATCTAGCGCCTTTCTTGCAGGAGGCCTTTGCCCATGTGGCGGAGTGGCTCGACCACGGAATGACAATCAACTAGAGTTGATTTAGGATTTGATTTGTAGGGTATCTCCCAAAAAGCCCTAATTGTCCCTTTGACAAGGGAATTCACCTTAAACTAAGGGTGTCGGGTGGGGGGGGGCTTCTCTGAATTTGACACTTTATAAGTCACGTGCTTCCTAAGTAAGGTATTGGGCTCCTGGGTAAGGTCTAGAGAGTGTTAGGCCTTAGGGTTTTAGGGTTTCAGGGTCTAGGCTGCCAATTCTTGGCAGCCCTTCCTAAACGGCGCCTGCAGCTCAGAGTTTCCCAGCAACAGGTCCAAGAACCCCCCAAGCCTCAGCCCTTCGAAAACCCTAAGCCCTAAGCCCTAAGCCCTAAGCCCTAAGCCCTAATCCTAAATCCCAAACTCTGCAACCGCCCATCTCAGGATCAGAGCTTATAAACTTCCTTTCATGATAGGGTTGATGGTTTGGGATGTCATGTGCAGGTCCTGGGAGCCCATGGACATAGTCGCAACGGCTCCAAGGGCGGTGTTCGAGAACATTCCGTGCGCTGGCAGACATGGGTTCGGGTTTAAGGTTCAGGGTTTCGGTTTTAGGGTTCAGGGGTTTAGGGTTTAGGGTTGAGGAGTGTTGCAGGATTTTGGGGGATGAGTCAGGTATATGCATATCCCCGACGATGCGGAGCACACCTGGTGGCGCAGCGATGCCTGAGAGAAAGAACAGGAAGTGCAGAGCAACTGCTACGCCACTCCTTGTGAATCTTCTTGGGATGTGCCATGGATCTTTCATGAGCTACTCCGTTCATATGCAGGGTTCTGAAACCGACTGCAACTACGGCGTCCCAGGAGTTTCCACCTCTGGCTAGCAGCTTCAAAAAGAGGACCTGCGAAATTCAGTGATGAGCGCTTGTGTGGCTCCACATGCCATGCTCCTGTTATACTACTGGTAGAAGTACGAGTATGCTTTCGACCTTCCAGTTTAGTGAAAACAGTCCCGAATACGGAGTAGACGCCATTTTTCCTCGAACCGAAGCTTTTCCGTCAATGCCGTAGAGATGTTGCATCAGCAGCTACAGATGCTGCAGCTGTGCTGACTGTTACACTCCGCAGATTGGGCTGCAGATAATGCAGGGACAGTCCCCGTGTAACGGACTCTTCACTGAACTCCTATGCATACCAGCACCACTCCTGAATGGTGCTTCATATTCTCCACTTCCTCTCTCGCTCCTCGTAGCTCCATTGTTTCTTGTCCTTCTCCTAAATCCTAGGTGCCTGAGTATAACTCTTTTCGGGCAAGTAGTCGCACATAGATTCCCTGCGAGTAGCCATGTCAGCGACGTTTCTGGGAGACTGGGCGAAAGGCCTCCTCCTTTCGCCCAGAAACGTCACTGGCATGGCTACTGGCAGGGAATCTATGTGCAACTACTTTCCCGAAAAGAGTTAC